CCAGAGTTTATTCCTTCAGATGTGTCTGCAGTTTCTTCCTTTTGGTGGGTTCGTGGTCTCGCTGACTTCAGGAGTGACGCTGCAGACCTTTGCAGTGAATGTTACAGTTCTTAAATGCGGCACGTCTGGAGTTGTTTCTTCTTCCCGGTGGCTTTGTGGTCTCGCTGGCTACAGGAGTGAAGCTGCAGCCCTTCGAGGTGAGTGTTACAGTTCATAAAGCCGGCGTGGACCCAGAAGAGTGAGGAGCAGCAAGTTACTGTAAACAGCAAAAGCACAAACCATCCACAGTGTGGAAAGGGACAGGAGCAGGTTGCCACAGCTGGCTCAGGCAGCCTGCTTTTATTCCCTTATCTGACCCCACCCACATCCTGCTGATTGGTCCATTTTCCAGAGAGCTGATTGGTCTATTTTACAGAGAGCTGATTGGTCCATTTTACAGACAGCTGATTGGTCTGTTTTGACACAGTGCTGATTGGTGTGTTTACAATCCCTGAGCTAGACACAGAGTGCTGATTGGTTTGTTTACAATCCTTTAGCTAGACACAAAGTGCTAGACAGAAAAGTTCTCCAAGTCCCCACTAGATTAGCTAGATACAGGAGTACTGATTGGTGTATTTACAAACCTTGAGCTATACACCGGGTGCTGATGCGGGTGTTTACAATCCCTGAGCTAGACATAGAGTGCTGATTGGAGCATTCACAATCCTTTAGCAAGACAGAGAGTGCTAGACAGAAAACTTCTCCAAGCCCTCACTAGATTAGCTAGATACAGATTACCGACTGGTGTATTTACAAACCTTGAGCTATACACAGGTTGCTGATGTTGGTGTTTACAATCCCTGAGCTAGACATAGAGTGCTGATTGGAGCGTTTACAATCCCTTAGCAAGACACAGTGTTAGAAAAGTTCTCCAAGCCCCCACTAGATTAGCTAGATACAGAGTACTGATTGGTGTATTTATAAACCTTGAGCTAGACACAGGGTGCTGATTGGTGTATTTACAATCCCCTAGTTAGACATAAAAGTTCTCCAAGTCCCCACTAGACTCAGGAGCCCAGCTGGCTTCACCTAGTGGATCCTGTACCAGGGCCACAGGCAGAGTTATCCGCCAGTTCTGTGCCGTGCCCCTACACTCCTCAGCCCTTGGGCAGTCGATGGGACCGGGTGCCATGGAGCAGGGGGTGGCACCTGGTGAGGCTCAGGCTGTGCGGGAGCCCACCGTGGGGTGCTTGGACATGGCAGGCTGCAGGTCCCGAGCCCCACCCTGTGGGGAGGCAGCTGAGCCCCAGTGAGTTTCGGAGCATGATGCAGGCAAGCCGGCAGTGCTGGGGGACCCAGTGCACTCTCCACAGCTACTGGCCCGGGTGCTAAGCCCCTCACTGCCCTGGGCTGGGGGCGCTGGCCGGCTGCTCCGAGTGCAGGCCGGCCAAGACCGCAGCCACTGGAACTTGTGCTGGCCCGTGAGCACAGCGTGCAGCCCCGGTTCCCGCCTGGGCCTCTCCCTCCACACCTTCCCACAAGCAGAGGGAGCCGGTTCCAGCCTGGGCCAGCCTAGAGAGGGGCTCCCACAGTGCAGTGGCAGGCTGAAGGGCTCCTCAAGTGCTGCCAGAGTGGACACTGAGGCCGAGGAGGCACTGAGAGTGAGGGCTGCTAGCACGTTATCACCTCTTAATATGACCTAATTTTACCTTCCTTATCCAAATACAGTCACATTCTGAGATAGAGAGGATTAGGACTTTAACATAGGAATTTGGAGGAGGGGAACCCAATTCAGCCCATAACAGGGGAGCACTGATATTTTCCCAAAATTGAACCTGCCAACCCACGAACACAATATATCCATTTTCCATTTAATATTATTTAATGCCTTTAATAGAGAGTGATACATTTTGCTGAGAGGCATTAAATAATATTGAACATCATGTTGGGTATCCATTTATTTAATGAGATCCCCTTTTCTCCCTTTTGTACTATGTTTTAAGTCCTAGAAGGTTGACATTTATGGACCCCATTAAAGGGCTCCCTTGTCTTCTGGGCTCTGGCTGGGTTTGACCAATGGAAGCATGGGCAGAAGATCTAAAAGTACATATCCATTTCCCCACTTCTTCCCCATGGCTGGGCTGATGATAATTGGGAGCAGTTGTGTTCCTCTACCGATTATTCCACCTCTCGCCCAGAGCATTCTGCTGCAGCCATACCTTTCTCAATGAAATCAGGTTCAGATAACTGCTCCCTTTCAGTTTCTCGCTCAGATCTATGATTAGTGCCCCATTTTCTTCTTGTTGGTTACTTTTGATCCTGGCCACACTTCTGTAACTGATCCCTTCATTACATTGCCCTCAACTTCTACATTTCAGTGTGCCAGTTTTCTTTTGCTGGGGAGTACACTTTGTTTATTCCAATGTAATTTATAACTCTTGATGCCATTTAATATGGTATACTTTAAAATTACATTTTCTGTTGTTGCTAACATATAGAAATGTGATGTCTTCATTACACACACACACACACCAAAAACAACAAAAAAACCCCAAAAAACCCAGTAATGTAGCCATTGCACTCTAGCCTGGGTAGCATAGTGAGACCTTCTCTCTTTAAAAAAAAAAAAAAAAAAAACTCCAGTAACCTTTCTAAATTCTCTCATTAATTCCAATAACTTGTATTAGTTTTTTTTTCTTTAGAGACACGGTCTTACCTCATTGTCCAGGCTGAAGTGCAGTAGCAGAAATAGGGTTTATTGCAGCCACAAACTTCTGTGCTCAAGTGATCCTCCTGCCTCAGTGTCCCGTGTAGCTGGGATCACAGGTGTGTACCACCATGCCAGGCTAATTTTTAAATTTTTTTGTAGAGTCTGAGTCTCATTCTCTTGCCCAGGTTGGTCTTGAATTCCTGGACTGGAGTGATCCTCCCATCTCAGCCTCCCAAAGTACTGGGAACTGGAATTACAGGCATGAGCCACCGCACCTTGCCTCTTTTCTTTATATATAACCTCTAAAACAATTTCTAATCACAGATTTACAACTTTCTTTGGAACATTTATGCATTTTTAAGTTTTCTGAACACCTAGTGCAATGCTGTATAGAAGAGGCAGTAGCAATCATCTGTCTTGTACCTAATACAGAATGCTTTCTGTGTTTCACCATTAGGTGTGGGGTTTCAGATAGTCTGTCAGGTTAAAAAAATTCCCTTCTATTTTTAGTGTCTAAGAGTTCTTGTAAGTGAAAGGATGCTGAATTCTATCAAAAACTTTTTACACATCTTTTGATACGATTTTCTTCTTTAATCTTTTAATATTGTGAATTATATCAATTACATTAACCTGTCTTCTAATATTAAATTGACCTTGAAGCCTACACAATTGGTTATAATACACAATACTTTCAGAACTCAGAATCCAAATGAGCAGGAATACATTCTTTAGAGCCAAGTAGGTACCATAACTTACCAGTTACATTTTTATCTACACACAATCAGCAATAAATGAACATGTACCAGTATCTGACCAGTTGTGTCGTTTTGACTGGCTCTTTTATTTACCTCCATCAGTAATGCAACAATCTATTTAATCAGTAAACAGTAATGCTGAGCATTCACTAAATGTCATTCACTTTTCTGGCACTAGAGTACAAATGACAAAGCCATAACCATTGCCATTAAGGAGCTCATAAATGTGTAAGTGGTGTGTATGTGTGAGACAAAAGGGAGAGTCTGACACAAAGGAGGAGTCAAACAAAATAAAATGAAAAACGTATATAGTAAGTGCTTTACTGTAAGTGAATGGACAAGAGTACTAAGGAAAAAGAATAGAGACATATTTCAAGTTTTCACGTTGTTTGACGCAAATCTTGTAGACGGTGTTTGCTGCAAAAAGATGAAGAAAACATTCACAGACATTTATGTTGATTACATATTTATTGGTATGTGCCAAGACGTTTTGATCTTGGGGATGAAGTAGTAAACACAAAAATCTCTGTTGTATAGGGCTTACATTCTAGCAATAAAGAACTTGCCCAGAGAAAAGGCCTCTCCTGGTTAGTAAACAGTATGAACAATTAACAGCTCTGGTTGTTTCACAGAGCCACACTGGGCTGCCTGCTGCAGACAATATCACAGTTTATATTTAAATATTCTTTTAATTTGTCCATGTATGTAATTTGCAAATTATCACTCATATGTATACATATCAAAAGATGTGTAAAAGTTTTTGATAGAATTCAGCATTCATTCGCTTAAAAAATGAGTGCAGGCTCACTTTATTGATGAGAGTATTTAATCAAAAATATTGGGGATCTACAACTCTAGAGTTCTCCAAAGTCCACCAAGGAAAAAGTAATTTGAATTTAATCGCATTTAAAACTATATAGTATCCACGCCTAAAACATTAGCAACATGGGAAAACTTACACAGCAGAAGAGATGGCTGGGGAATTTTTTTTGTTTTGTTTTTTTGTTTTAAGACAGGGTCTCGCTCTGTCGTCCAGGCTGGAGTGCAGTGGCGCGACCACCGCTTACTGTGGCTGGCCTCGACTTCTCCGGCTCCAGTATCCTCCCACCTCAGCCTTCCAAATAGGTGGGACCACAGGCACCACCACGCCAAGCCCGTATATGGTTTTTAAGTAAGACAAATTGCAAAAAAACGTTACTAGACAGTGTTCGCAGGTTTGAGCCGTCACTGGGAATGGCCCGTGTCCGTCTAGACATTCAGAGGCCGAGCACAGTCCTCAGTAGGGCTGCTCGGCGGGTACACTGCTGCCGCTGGCCCCTGGGCTTACGGGAGTGGGAAGGGATTTCAACTCGGCCGCGGACCGGGAAGGCGTTCTGACCCGCTAGAGCTCGGGGCGAGGGACCCCATCCCGGTGCCTACAGCGCCTCCTTTAGCTGGCATGGGCCAGCGTTAGTTACCTCAGGGCACTGAACTGGCGCCTGCGTCTTTCTGCACTTCTCGCTCTTTCTTCAAGTCACTTATGCCCAGCGAGCCCGCCCTCCCGCCAGCCAATCGTCATTTCCGGCGGGTGCTCTGCGTCATTTACGTCGTCACTTCCTGCCGATACCGGTGTGGACGGTGTGAATCGTGGCTGGGCCGGTTCTCTGCTTCTCCCCATCCCCTACTTTCCTCCCTCCCTCCCTTTCCCTCCCTCGTCGACTGTTGCTTGCTGGTAGCAGACTCCCTGACCCCTCCCTCACCCCTTCCTAACCTCGGTGCCACCGGATTGCCCTTCTTTTCCTGTTGCCCAGCCCAGCCCTAGTGTCAGGGCGGGGGCCTGGAGGAGCCCGAGGCGCTGCAGCAGAAGAAAAGACAACGACGACCCTCAGCTCGCCAGTCCGGTCGCTGGGTTCGCCGCCGCCATGGCAATGAGACAGACGCCGCTCACCTGCTCTGGCCACACGCGTCCCGTGGTTGATTTGGCCTTCAGTGGCATCACGCCTTATGGGTATTTCTTAATCAGCGCTTGCAAAGGTGAGCAAGGCCTCAATCCTGGTCCCCGACGGCTGGGACTGGGCCGAAAGGGATTGGGACCCGCACTCTCCAGTGCTGAGCTGTGGTGTGGTGAGCGGGGAGGGGGCGATATTAACATCTGAGATGAGGGCCAACACTGGTCCGGTGGAGAAAGGAGTGTGTTAGGGAATCCGCAGCTGGAGCCGAGAGGCCTCCGGACGCTTATGTAGAAACTATTACCCCCAGCTAAGACCTCTCTCCTTATTTTATTTTTATTGCTATTTTTGAAGGAGCTGGACAGCCCTTGCCTAGACTCTCGGGACAACACTGTAAATAGCTGTCAAGGATTTGGGGAAAGGAGAAATTAGGCCAGGCCGTGCAATACCTTACAAAGATGTTCGCTCTTGTCTCACTGGGTATTCCTTTGTGGTATTAGCCTCATTTTTCAAATGGGAAACAGATTTAGGCTACAATGTTTGTCCAAAATAAGACTAAAATCTAAGTTATTTCGACGCAGATCAGTATTCCCAGCAAATTACAGATGCTTTTCAGGGAAAATGATCTGTTCAGCTCTTCAGTTAATTATTACTGGACATTCCGTAGTGACTTCAATCGGTGGTGATAGTTAAATAGCTGAAACAATTTTTCCACTTCGTCATTGAACATCATTGTATATTTACATTTGAATCTTAGACTTTAATCCGAACTTATAAATTACATGTTTTAAAAAATATTTTCTAGATGGTAAACCTATGCTACGCCAGGGAGATACAGGAGACTGGATTGGAACATTTTTGGGTCATAAAGGTGCTGTTTGGGGTGCAACACTGAATAAGGATGCCACCAAAGCAGCTACAGCAGCTGCAGATTTCACAGCGTAAGTGTAGCCAAGATGGCTAACTTTGGTGTTCTCTGTAGATTGTGTCCTGAAATAATCAAAAACTTCAGTCTCAGATATTCATAAAATTCTGACTCGCTGGCTGCCATATAGAACGCATGATGTTTGATCTCACCAAAATTCCATCCTGGTCCATCGTGGTCCTGTGTGCTGCTTTTGTCTTCAGTGGTTCTCAAAATTTTTAGAGGCCTAAATGACTTACTCCTTATATTTTGATTGAGACTCAGGAATCGGCATTAACAAACGCTCCAGATAATGAATGTTGATCTCCTTTACGAATGCTGCTCTGTGTGTACTCCTTAGTGATAACCTACAGTGATGACCCTAGGTTTTTATTTCAATCCCAGTTTTTGTTAATTGGCTGTAGGCATCACTAAAACTCATTGTGTCAAAAACAAACAAAAAGACAAAACAACAACAAAGCAAAACTCAACTGCTCTTCATTTCCTAAGTTTTTAAAGGTTGAAATCTAAAGCATTCTTGATTTTCCCTTACATCGAGATTATCATCATCTGTTTTGATTGTGCCAGCAGGATGTCTCCTGACTACAATGTTCCTCCATGTAGTAACTGCCACTGCCTTAGTTGAGGATCATTTTTAACTTTCAGTAGTTTCTTTTCCTCCTATTCATATTCCATATTGCTGCCAGTTGTCTTCCTAAAAATGTATTTGATCATGTCACTTCTCTACCTAATGATCTTGCTGTCTTCCCTTTGCCATTTTAGTAGTTCATGACCTTTGATATACATTAGAATATCTGGAGAACTTTTCAAATATTCAAATGGTATGTGTCCCAGAAATTTGGATTTTTAAAACTTTTTCTTTTACTTTTTTACTCTATGCATATATATATTTACACTTTTTACTACATTGAAAAATTTTTAAAATACTTTTTAGTATATAGACAGTATCTAGCTATGTTGCCCAGGCTGTCTTAAACTGTTGGCCTCCATGCGTCAGCCTCTCAAAGAGCTGGGGTTGTGGGGGTGAACTATTGTGCCTGGTACAGAAATTCTGGTTTGATTGGTCTTTAGGGATAGAGTACTGATCATATTGATCATTGGCGTTTTTTTTTATTTTTCTTCCCTCCTTTTCTTTCCTGCTATGCAGTCGTAGAATTGCTGACCTAAAGGACACATTTCAATTGTTGGCCCTTTACAGTTTGCTTCATCCTAGTTCATCAACATCATCCTCTCCCATTGCACACCATAAACCTACAATCTAATTATACTAATCTTATTGTTGTCAGAAATATACTTTACCTGTTCTGACTTTTGGCTGTTAATTATGTTATTAAACTGACCTACAGTGGCCCTCGTTGCCTTTTTGGGAATATATCATGTATTAAAAATCTTGTTTTCTCCAGTTCCTACTTGGTATTTGTAACTTAGGAATTTGACACTTCATTGTTTAAACTGATGAAGGCAATATCAAGAGCTATTGTGCATACACAAATTTATTAGATTTAAGAGGCTAGAGAGTACAAGTGGTGTTGATTTTTTTTTTTTTTTTTAAAGACAGAGTCTTGCTCTGTCGCCCAGGCTGGAGTGCAGTGGCACAATTTCGGCTCACTGCAACTTCCACCTCTGAGGTTCAAGTGATTCTCCCACCTCAGCTTCCTGAGAGGCTGGGACTACAGGTGTGCGCCACCATGCCCGGCTAATTTTTGTGTTTTTAGTAGAGATGGGGTTTTGCCATGTTGGCCAGGCTGGTCTCGAACTCCTGACCTCAAGTGATTTTGGCCTCCCAAAGTGCTGGGATTACAGGTGTGAGCCACTGTGGCTGGCCTTTGATTTTTTTTTTTTTTAAACAACCTCACACTAAGGAGGAATTGTAAATGTGCTGCCTCCTTCCTTTTAAGTAAATTAAACATACCAATTTTAGAATGAGAAAATGAAGGCTGATTGATTGTGGTGGCGGATACGTGACTGTATGCTCTTGTTTGTTGAAACAGTGTTGTCTTTATGCTTTTTTAACATTTCAAGTCTCAATGTCTTGTATTTACAACTGGTGTTAAGAGCATGAAGACTGGAGCCAGATGACTTGTATTTGAATTAGTGGCCTCATGCACTTTATTTAACCATTTCTTTTCTGTCGTGGTACCTACCTCATAGGTTGGTTTTGAATATTAAATAAGTTAATATGTTTCAAATACTTAGAATATTGCCTGAAGTCCATTACATCTATGAAAGTGTTACATATGTAAAGTAACAATGATAGCTACCATGTAAACTATTACCACCCGCACTTGATCAAAATGACATATTATTTTGAAACTAATATGGCTAAAGCCTTGAAACCATTTGGCCTCATGTAAGGAAGGTTGAATGGATTTAAATGTCAAGTAGGAAGATTTTTGTGATTTTTTTTTCCCCCCTCAGTTAAGGCTTTAGGTGCTGTGTTAGAGTGGAAAATGGTAACAAGCATTGGCACTAGGTGGGCTTGCATTCATGTGCAAACTATGTTGTGTATTTCCAGTTTGATCATCATAGGGTTATTATTATTATTTTTTTTTAATCAGGGTCTTAGGTGCCTAGGCTAGAGTGCAGTGGCGTGATCATAGCTCACTGCAGCCTCTACCTCCCAGTCTCAAGCAGTTCTCCAACCTCAGCTTCCTGAGTAGTGACACAGGCGTGTTACTACCGTGCTTGGCTAATCTTTGTGTTTTTTGTAGAGACGGGTTTCTCCATGTTGTCCAGGTTGGTCTTGAACTCTTGGGCTCAAGCGATCTGCCCACCATGGCAGGATGTTTCTTAAACGTCAGTTTTCGTGTCTGTAAAATGGGACTAAGACCCATGAGATTATTGGAGGAACAGAGAGCTCTTTCTCTACCATATATCCCTGAAGTCCAATATGATCTCTGTCACATAGTAGGTGCTCAATAAATGCTACTTGAGATTTATCCCTCATTTCCTCTATGTCTTGTCTATGGGGTGTAGGAGCGTGTTTTCGTGTGGTGTGTGTGTGTGTGTGTGTGTTCTCTCCAAGAAGTTACTCCCCACAGCCTACCTGATTAGTCATAGTTGGTATAAAGCATTTTTAGAAACATCTTTTTTTCCCCTCCATTCTTATGTTTCTTGGAAAACTCATTTCTGGTGTGGTCATCTAGAAGTGGATTTTGGTCCTGTTTCTAGTGGAGAAATTTGGCAGAATAGGTCTGTGGACTAGTGTAGAATGTTATCTTGGAGTAATTTGGGCAGTTGAGTCCAGTGTTGAGTACAGTGTCCCTACAACACCATCCTCTTTGTATCTGTTTGGGAAGAGTGCCAAACCTAAAGATAATTCTGTGCTGTGCTCCCGAGAGTGCTTAAGTAGATCTGGGACTGGGCCCAGGAATTTATAGGTAATGAAAATGTATCACTCTTTCTTTCTTGTAAAGCCAATAGAAATACCTAATTTTAGTTTTAATAAGGTTCTTGATAAATCAAAAATGGTATTATCTCCTAGATGACTTGGTCAACATGTTCAGGTATTTAGGCAGTTTTTTAAAAAATCTTAAACTGGCCTGTTTTGTTGAAGGTTTAAATAAGGAAGTTAAGCAGCTCCTATTATGAGACTTATGGTAAGTTCATTCTGAGGATATGAAAAGTATCAGGCAGCATTATTATTTGCAAGAAAATGGGGTATAAGAGGTATCAGTAGTTGAAGGAGATGACAAGTACTTCGTGGGATGTGAAGAAAATAAATGTTGGAGGGTTAGCTGCTGAAAGGATATGGTTAATAGCGCTTTACTGTCTTGATTTGAGCCCTGTGGCCAACTAATATATGCCAGTTTCTTGCCTGGAGATTGAATAATACCTTAGGAAACATTTAGATTAGATCCATTTTAGGGCTCTTACTGTGAATGTTGGAAATCTGCCAGAGTTAGTACATGCCATGTCAGAAAGTGTCATGCGTCTATTTTAGTGCTATTTCTAAATAGGAGGAAAAACTGCAGACACATTACCTCTCTGGTTAATATTCCTGCTTTGGTCACTCCAACTCTTTCCTCACCTTTGAATAGACACAGTCTAAGCAGAATCTTAAGATTTTAGAGCTGGCATGTTGGCATTAGCCTGTAGCTACTTAGGAGGCTGAAGTGGAAAGATCTTGAGGCCAGGAGTTCAAATATAGCTAGGACTATATACCAAGACCCTGTCTCAAAAAGAAAAAAGAGAGGTTTTAAGTTTATGGAAGATTATTTAATATACTGGAAATTAGCATATCAAAGGACATTGCCCAGATTTCTTTTGAGACTTGTGAATAACTAGAATAGTCATTTTAGATACATTTGTTGTTTTCTTCACTTTTGATGCCTTCTGTCATTCTAATACTTGTGAACTCTTATCACAACCACGAAATGCATTTGCCTGTGATTAAGGATATATGTAAACAAAAAGCAAAGCAAATTTAAACACAGTAATAAGTGGAGTTCTGTAGGAGAACAGAAAGGAATGGTTAATTATTAGAGTCGAGGATAAATAGGTTTAAAGAAAAGATAGCATTTGAAATGAGCCCTAAGGGTGAGTTGAACTTTAATAGCTAAGAATGTAAAATACAGACTTAAGAGAATAATATGAACAAGAACATAGGAGCCTGGAAGAAAATACATAAGTTATTTGAGGAATGGTTTATAATCTAATGTGACTAGACTCAGAGAAACAATATAAAATGAGGTTGGGAAAGTAGACTGGGGCCAGAGAGTTACACTGGAATGAGAGAGAGAGGAGTAGGTTTCCTGGGCAAAGAGAAATGAATACTAGGGAGTTTAGTAGCAAGACTACTTATAGTTGACATTATTTCTTTCAGAACATTTTTTTTTTTTTTTTTTTTTGAGACGGAGTCTTGCTCTGTCGCCCAGCCCAGGCTGGAGTGCAGTGGCGCGATCTCGGCTCACTGCAAGCTCCGCCTCCCGGGTTCACGCCATTCTCCTGCCTCAGCCTCCCGAGTAGCTGGGACTACAGGCGCCCACAACCGCGCCCGGCTAATTTTTTGTATTTTTAGTAGAGACGGGGTTTCACCGTGGTCTCGATCTCCTGACCTTGTGATCCACCCGCCTCGGAGCCACTCGTATGACCCACATTATTAAATGTTGCAAGCTGTGGTAGTGTATCATAAGCATTCCTATTAGATGGTCTTTCATATTTATTAACCACATTGCAGATGCTATTAATGTTTATCTAGAATAGCCTTCCCTTGTTTTTCCCCTGATATATTTCTCTTTGCTTCTTCCGATGACTAGCTCTGTTACATAGATTTTCTGGACAATATCTAAGTGCTGTTTTTCTGAGTTTTTATAGCCACATATATGTCTTTTAATTATATTTCTTAAATGTGTAATTTAATGCATGTTTTTCTCCTCAGCTAAAGCTCTACTAGGGCAAGAACCTACTGTGGGGTATTTTTTGTCTCCCATTTGTGCCTTAGCACTAAGTATAGAATGATATATATTTAAAATATTATGTATTTATTGGATAAACAAAAGAAAAGATATATCTCGCTTTTCTCTGATTTTTTTCCCTCTACCATTTCATTGCCCACTGTGTTCCCGAAAATAAGTATCAGTTGCATTAAAATGGAAATCTCTATGGACATAGCTTCTTCACTCTTAGCAATTCTTTTCCCTGTCTGCAAAATTTTCTTGTTTATTTTTCACTGACCTGTTCTGATCTAAAATCAACTTTTTTTCCCCCTTCCTTAAGCTTTTTTATTTCGGGGAACCCTTTTAGAGTAATTTTGTATTGTTCAACTATTACCCGCTTGGAATATACACACATATATATGTATGTATACCTACAACCAACTTGTATTTTGGGGTGGGGTAGTACAGGAAAAACAATGTAAAGATTAAAATTCTCAATGTTAGCATTATATAATCAAAGGCTGATAGTTGGGGGAAGTTAACTGTACTAGAGTTTGAAAATTTAAGTCAGCTTTGAAGAAGAGATGAAGTGGACATTGTCTCTCCACTATCTTAATTTAAAATTTTATTTAACCTGTATTTAAGGCTTTTCATTCCCCTGTAAAATTTTTAAGGATTTCTGTTTTTTTTTTTTTGTTATTGTTGTTGTGCATCTGAGTGGAGAATAGAGAAAAAATTGGCATGGTGAAACTAAAAATTGGTTAAAATGTGTGACTGTCTTGCTAAAGGGATATTATGGCTATCAACTAAAATAAAAGTAAGTAGGATGGGTTGGTTCATGAATCTTTCTTAAATTGTTCATATCTTTTCCACTGTCAAAGAAAATTAGATTGGTTATAAAGTTTTTACAAAGAAATTTCTTTTCCTTTAAGCTTATTTAAATATTTTATCAAATGAAGTCTGTGAGGCATATTAGAGATAAAGGAGATTTATAATACATTTATGTAACATTTCACATATCTAACTTATTTGGTACTCATCAATATTATAATTGTATTTATCCTTTTAATTTATTGGGTAATATTTATCGTACTAATTTTTCCTTTTTTACTTTTAGCAAAGTGTGGGATGCTGTCTCAGGAGATGAATTGATGACCCTGGCTCATAAACACATTGTCAAGACTGTGGATTTCACGCAGGTATCAGAAAATTGAATTTATTTTAGCAAGTTAAGTTGCTATTATATAGTGTGACAATGCTTTTATATTTGATTGGTGTGTATATTTGATTGATATATTTTGTGTGGAATATTTGTTATGTCTTGGTTCATATTTAATTTGATTGTGTATTAAGCTCTATGAATTTGTTTCATGGTTAATCCTGTCAAGCTTTTAAGATACCGTGGAACAAGTACCAGTCCTTCAAGAAGCAAAAAACATCTGAAAAGCTCAAGTAACCTTTCTCACCTACTAATAGAAGTGAGAAGATGAATTTCAGATAATCAGAAAAGGGCCTCTCACAAGGGAGAGGAGTAGGATCAGGGGAGAATGGGAGAGTTCATGTATATGTAGCGTAATGTAACGCTTTTGAACTGGAAAGCTCACAAGGCTTGGTAGTTATGAGAGGGCAGCTGTTCCACAGTATCTTCTCAGAAGTAATTGGTTATGTCTTGCATCTCTTTGTGATGTCTGTGAGCTAGATTTTGATTTTATTTGGTGTTGAAGTTTGAAAGAGAAATAACTATTAAAATGGTTAACCTATTCACATTTTGTGTTTTCAGGATAGTAATTATTTGTTAACCGGGGGACAGGATAAACTGTTACGCATATATGACTTGAACAAACCCGAAGCCGGTAAGCATAATTTAAACATCAGCTTGTAGTTTTACTTTTTTTAAATTTAAATAACTGATTAAAGGATTTCATGCTCAGTACTCAAATTTGGAAAATAAAGATAGTCATGACCGGGCACGGTGGCACACGCCTGTAATCCCAGCACTTTGGGAGGCTGAGGCAGGTGGATCACTTGAGTTCAGGAGTTTGAGACCAGCCTGGCCAATTTGTCAAAACCCCGTCTCTACTAAAAATACAAAAATTAGCCAGGTGTGGTGGTGGGCGCTTGTAATCCCAGGTACTCAGGAGGCTGAGGCAGGAGAATTGCTTGAACCCGGGAGGTAGAGGTTGCAATGAGCCAAGATCACGCCACTGCACTCCAGCCTGGGCAACAAGAGTGAAATGCCATCTCAAAAAAAAAAAAAAATTAGTCACAAAAAAGAAAATTAAAACATAATTCACCCGTTTTTGGTTTATAAACTTTCGGTCTTTTTTATCCTGCAGTTTAAAAAAAAAAAACAGTTTATCTGCCACGTTGCTATTGTATAACCTCCCAAATTGAAAATTTATTATGGCAAAAAATTTTATCATTATATTAAGTTTTAAAACACTGTAGAACAGTGTTACTATTTTTTGGTAAGAAAGAGTGGTTATTTATAGAAGGTGGTGATGGTGGGAATTCTCAGTTGTGTGCGCATATTGCTTAGATTTTTGAACCATGTAAATATATTAGCTATTTGAAAGAATTTTTAAAAATCTGCAATTACAGTTTTTTCATGTCACTAAATAGTCTGTGAACTCTTTGTAATGACTTTCTGGTTTTCCATCCTGTGGATATATCATAAGTGAATTAACTAGTTTCCTGTTTTGGCCTGTTTGGGCTATCTACAAATTTTAAATGTTAAAAGCAGTATTATGCTAAACATCCTTGTAGTTGCAGATATTTTCACAATGATTTCCTTAAGATAACTAAGCAAAGTAGAATTGGTGGGACAAAGAGAAGTAGAATTGCTGGAAGGTGGCCGGGTGCAGTGGCTCACACCTGTAATCCCAGCACTTTGGGAGGCCAAGGTGAGCGGATCACCTGAGGTCAGGAGTTTGATACCAGCCTGGCCAACATGGTGAAACCCCATCTCTACTAAAAGTACAAAAAATTAGCTGGGCATGGGCATGGTAGTAGGCGCCTGTAATTCCCAGGTACTCAGGAGGGTGAGGTAGGAGAATCGCTTGAACCTGGGAGGTAGTGGTTGCAGTGAGCCAAGACTGTGCCATTGCATTCCAGCCTGGGGGACAACAGCGAAACTCCTTCTCAAAAAGAAAAAAAAAAAAATGAATTGTTGGAAGCCACTGATAGATAGTACCAAAGTGTCTTCCAACAAAGTATAGGTATATATATGTATCTATACCCAACATGTTCTAGTGAACACTGATAATTAACTTTATCTTTGTCAATTTAAGAAAATAATTCTGTTGTATTAATGTGAAAATTCATGAGATTAAAATGCTGTTGAATACCATTTTAACGTATTTCCTTTTTTATGAAATAATTGCCTGTCTACCCGTGGCCCATTTATCTGTTGTGTTCATGTTTTTCTTACTGGTTTTTAAAGATTCTTTATTGAATTCCAATTTATCATTTGCTTTTAAATTTTGTTAAGGCGGTTTTATGGTGTGTACTTTTTAACATTTTGGTGGTGAAATCCTTTATGCATTCTCTCATTTTACAGAAGTTATAGGTGTCATCCCCACTCTACATACTTTATTTTATAATATTTTAATCATTGCCCTCACCATATATATATACTTAGCTACCAAAACATGACAAATATAATTTTGTTTTATTATATGTTTGGTATCTTTGAAATTTTATTATGTGGGCATTTATGTAGTCATAAATCTATAACATTGAAAAGAGTAATAAGAGTCAGAACCGCATTGGAAATTAAGCAGTTGTTCTCTTGAGATACCTTCCATTTCTGAGAGCTTTTTAAAATATTTTACGTTTTAGTGTTAGGGTAGTTTGTTACGAAAACATTTTTAAGGTGAGGAAACAAAGCCCATTTACAGATTTTTTTATTCTCCGTTGCATGTAGGGTTTTTTTTCTGCTTTCTTTTTTGATAAATTTATGCCAAAGCATAGGAAAGGACTCTGACCTCACTTAATCTGTCAACTCATTCAGCAAAGCAAGGTAGTTCAGGGATTGGGTCAAAGCAAGGTAGTTCAGGGATTGGGTCAAAGCAAGGTAGTTCAGGGATTGGGTGGACATTTTTCATACTCTGCCTTTCCCAAAGCTGTTTTATGAAAGTTGCTCTTTCTCGCTGTGCTGGCAGCAGAAATGATAGCAACTTAGTGAGGTTTTACTGTGTAACAGGTTATCTGTTAAGCACTATTCTCATTTGTAACCATTGTTATCTCATTTTACAGATAAGGAAATAAAGTTAAAAACTTAAGTAACATGCCCAAAGGTGAAAATAGTGTTGAATGGCATTGCCTCCAGTGTCTGCTTTTGCCCCTAGAGAAAGCAGTGAGGGTTTTTTGAAGTCCTTTGAAAGGATAATCTCCTACAGATTTAAACTCCCTTCCTTTTTTTTTTTTTTTTTTTAATGTTTTCCTCACAGTGTAGAAACATTCTTGGGAATTGCTGTCCCACTTTCTGTTTCCCTTTTTCCTTCTAACTCTTACTTCCTATTAGTTACTATCAATAGCTGCTTGGATGAAGGTCCCAGAGTTAGCCATAGTACTAGAATCAGTTTCAACTATCTTGTTCCTAGGTCCATGTTCTTATTAAATTATGCCACATTAATTATTATTTTATTTCATGGCGATACAATAATGCTTTTGAATATTATCAGTTGTGCAGAAATTTAGCCTAGAGGGAGTGAGTGGTGCATTCACTCAGCTACATATAGCAAGCATAGTAGTTCCTTGGGTCCCTGTCATGCAGGTAAATTTATGTTCCAGTATGGAAAAACTAACTGTATTCTGTATAAATATCAGGTTTGAATTGGGCTGGGCTTTGAAAAGTTGCAGTCTAATTTAAAATGTGTGTTTTTTAAAATATATAATAGTTTCAATATTGTTCAGTTAAAAAAATCATGTATTAACAAATGTACTTTTAATTGTTTTATCTCAAGAACCTAAGGAAATTAGTGGTCACACTTCTGGTATAAAAAAAGCTCTGTGGTGCAGTGAGGATAAACAGATTCTTTCTGCTGATGACAAAACTGTTCGGTAAGTACTTTTTTAAAAATAATTTACAATTTGAGGCTGGGCATGGTGGCTCATGCCTGTAATCCCAGCACTTTGGGAGGTGAGGTGGATGGATCATTTGAGGTCAGGAGTACTAGACCAGCCTGGCCAACATGACAAAACACTGTCTCTATGAAAATTACAAAACTTAGCCAGGTGTGCTGGCACACACCTGTAATCCCAGCTACTCGGGAGGCTGAGGCAGGAGAATCACTTGAATCTGGGAGACAGAGGTTGCTGAGAGTCGAAATTGCGCCATTGCACTCTAGCCTGGGTGACAGAGCTAGACTGTCTCAAAAACAAAAAACAAACTTAAAATTTGAAAAATATTTTACCTTAGAGCTTGTATTTTAAATACATTTAATATTATGTGCAAAAAATGTTCTGAACATTAAAATTTAAGTTGCACCCAGGTCACATTTATCTGGAGCTATTTACTATTACAGGTCAAGTATCCCTAACCTGAAAATCTGAAATTTGAAACGCTCTGAAATCTGAGACTTTGAGTGCTGACTTGATGCTTAAAGGAAATGCTCATTAGAGCATTTTGAATTTTCTGTTTTCAGGTTAGGGATTCTCAATCGGTAAGTGTCTGATGCAAATATTCCAAAATCCGAAAAAGTTTGAAATCCAACTTCTTTCTGGTCGCAAGTATTTTCTATAAGGGATGCTCACCTTGTATATACAGACAGCAAAATTCAGAAGAAAATTAAATCCTGATCTCTTATAAGCAGGTGTTCTTAACCTGGGTCTGTGGGCAGGTTAAAGGGAGGGTCCATGAAGCCTCTGAAATTCTATACAAAAATCTTGTTTGCTGACACCTGATGTATATTTCTTTGGAAAGATGTGTAGCTATTGCTAGATTCACAAAAACAGAGTGTAAGAACCACTATTTATAGCAGTGCTGAAATTGACTAGATTCGAACTTGTCTTATGTAGTTTTGCCAAATTGGGAAGTATATGTAGGTATTAAAGTTGATTTTACTTACAAGCTGTTGTCATGCATAATTTGACATTGTATATAGAAACCCAGAATTTCTTTTTATCATCTGTAATTGTGACTTGGAATGAATGTTGTTTTTCTGTAATTGTGATTGTTCTTTCTTTGGCTAATCTGCAGATGTAATTAGAATTTATAAGCTTTTTTCTGACATGAGTAAACATCATCATATTTTTATCTTTATTTTGCAGACTTTGGGATCATGCTACCATGACAGAAGTAAAATCTCTAAATTTTAATATGTCTGTTAGTAGTATGGAATATATTCCTGAGGGAGAGATTTTGGTTATAACTTATGGACGATCTATTGCTTTTCATAGTGCAGTAAGGTATGTCCAAGAAATACTTTCATTTTCTGTTTTAGGTAACAAAAGACAATTTGGCTACTTAAAAATGGAAAGATATTTACTTTTTTTTTTAAAAGTAAAGAGGCCAGGAATGGTGGCTAATGCCTATAAATCGCAGCACTTTAGGAGGCTGAGGTGGGAGGATGGCTTGAGACCAGCCTGGACAACACAGTGAGACGCCCATCTCTACAAAAAATAAAATTAGCTGGTCGTGGTGGCACATGCCTATAGTCCAGCTGCTTGGGAAGCAGAGGTGAGAGAGTTGCTGGAGCCTGGGAGGTTGAGGCTGCATTGTGCTGTGATCCTGACACTGCACTCCAGTCTGGATGACAGAGCAAAACATCCTCTGAAAAAGAAAAAAAAAAAAAAGAAAAAGCAAAAACTGCTGGATTGGTAATGTAATTTATGTTTTTTTACTAGATAAAACCATTGCGGGCTGGGCGTGGTGGCTCATGTCTGTTATCCCAGCACCTTGGGAGGCTGAGGTGGGCGGATCACTTGAGGTCAGGGGTTCGAGACCAGCCTGGCCAACGTGGTGAAACCCCGTCTCTAAAATAAAAATACAAAAAGAAGAAAAATTAGCTTTTCTGTAGTCCCAGCTATTTGGGAGGCTGAGGCAGGAGAATTGCTTAAGTACAGGAGGTGGAGGTTGTAGTGAGCTGAGGTCGCACCACTGCATTCTAGCCTGGGTAACAGAGCAGAGTCTTTCTCAAACAAAAAAACAAAAAAACAGTGTGATCTTGATTCTACTATTTATTTTCACCTTAAAATTTTAGGGAAGGAATAATCTTATTTCTATTCCTAAATGATTTTTTTAAACAGATGTGAATTTTGCGACTGTAAATGTAGTAAATACTCTTGTAGAAAGACTGGAATATATAACATAATTGAAAAAAAAATGTACCTATAATATTATAACCATAGGTGCAAGAGTGTTAATGGTAGTTATATTTTTTGCTAGTCCATTTCTCTATGTTATATATGTGGGTGTACAGTATTTGTGTTTTTTTCTTTAATTATTAGGACCATAATGAGTATCATTTTGATTTATTTAAAAATATTAGCCATTTGAAAACGTTTTTACTTGATACACTATATTGCATTATAGGTTGTACTAAATTATGGGTTAGTTTCCCTATTTTAGCATCATGGTGAATGATCTGGTACATCTCTGAGTGTTTCTTTACAGTAGATAGGATCCTGTAAGTAGAATTGTCAGTTCAAAGGGTAGAAATGAGTTTAAAATTCTTAGTTGTACATGACACTTAATTGATTTCCATAAAGATTATACCACATTACACTTTGATTGATATTTGACCAGTGTCTTAACCTTGTGTCTAAAGGGCTACTTGCAGAGTCAAACTTCACTAAACTGGGAGAAAGAAAAGGCAGTAAAATTGGAGGAGAGCAATTAAGACTGTCAAGGAGTTAATACACATACAATAAACTGATAATAGAATACTATTTCCTGGAGCTATCAATTAGTATATTAATGCTCTTCACTCACTCCTGCAGTTAGGCAAATCCCATGTTGGTGGCAGAAATTTTCTGACCCATTGAATGTTCTAGCATTAGAGCTAGCAAGTTGCTATGTAGTGATCCTGCATAAGTCATGACTAACTTTAATTATCATGCTTTAAAGTATATGATGATGGGAAGTATTTAGGAGCTGGGATATCATGTTTTGTATTGGAGGCCTTTCATGATTTTTAGGGTTAAACTGAAAAAGCTAATGTCTAAACTGTAATTAATTTTCAGATGAAGCTGTTATTATGCATTGATTTTTATTATATAACTACAGCCCCAAATTTTGTTAGTCTTTTACTGCCTTATAATAATAACTGTTTTTAGCAGTTTATATTTTATGACATTGAAAGTTTATCTTACTGAGGAGCTTAACTCACCAATTAATAATAATATATAAATAATCCTTTATATTAATTACCTACTGTGAAAACTTTTTCTATTTACAAAGATAATATGTGCTTGTAGAAAATTGAAACAAGCCGGGTGCGGTGGCTCACGCCTGTAATCCCAGCACTTTGGGAGGCCGAGGCGGGCGGATCACAAGGTCAGGAGATCGAGACCACGGTGAAACCCCGTCTCTACTAAAAATACAAAAAATTAGCCGGGCGCGGTGGCGGGCGCCTGCAGTCCCAGCTACTCAGGAGGCTGAGGCAGGAGAATGGCGTAAACCCAGGAGGCGGAGCTTGCAGTGAGCCGAGATCGCGCCACTGCACTCCAGCCTGGGCGGCAGAGCGAGACTCCGTCTCAAAAAAAAAAAAAAAAAAAAAGAAAGAAAATTGAAACAATACAGGTGAAATTTATTTAAGAGCAAAAATCCCAATGTATTATTCATACTGTTTTAATTAGTGAACACACGCATTTCCGGGAAGACATCCACTGCATAAACTGGGTATCCCTCTATCAAAATGTCTTTGTATTGCTGAGATGAACTCCACTTGGGCATAGTACCCGTTTGAATTTTTTTTTTTTTTTTTTTGGCTAACAGAGCTTTTTTACATCAGTGTTTATGTTTGAGTAAATGAGTATTTAATTGTTCCTTGGGTTTCAGAGTTTAAGAACAGTTCAAATGTAACTCGTTATTTATACAATATTCAAGATTTGTAAATACTACTTAAATTTTTTTTCAGTTTGGACCCAATTAAATCCTTTGAAGCTCCTGCAACCATCAATTCTGCATCTCTTCATCCTGAGAAAGAATTTCTTGTTGCAGGTGGTGAAGATTTTAAACTTTATAAGTATGATTATAATAGTGGAGAAGAATTAGGTGAGTTGTCCCCTTACAGTGATGTGCTTACCTTTATCATATGTTAAGTCCCAGTAATTAACACCTCATTTATATAACATGTTGAAAGCAAATTTTTCAGCTAACTTAAGCTTGGTGCTTACAAGTGAAAAAGTAAAGGAGTTTTAATCATTTGGGTTAGATTTTTTTTTAGATCTGTAAACAAAGTATGCAAAAATTTGACCTTTTAACTGAAGTACATCATTATCCTAATGTATTACCGTACAGTGAGTTTTAGGCTTTATTGGCTGGGAGGAAGGGGGGAATCTTATGTCAAAGTCGTATGTTAAACAGATGAAAGGAGATCCATTCTTTCTGAAGTATGCTGTGGGTGTGTAACCCCATCTACTTGGCCCATCTTCCTTGTTGCCAACTTAGGAATCCCTGAGACTCCATAAAGAACAGTGTGTGGGGGAAAACCAGTATAGCATATTACAGGGACACCTTTAGGAATCTGAATTGGGGAGTTATTTTTATCGACTTTTTATTTATTCTATTTTGGAGTTTGAGTTTTGTTTTCATTTTCATGATAACAGTCCTTAGTAAGGGGAATGGGAAGGCATGTGGATTAATTTGAAGTTAATGTATATTTATCTGATGGACCAGGTATTTCACATAGGTACATGTGGTTCTCAGTATCTACTTTTAGCCTTCCCAAATAGTTTTTGCTTTTAGTTCAAAAATATATTTAGTTTTTATAAATACATAGTTTTATCTATAAGCTGTCTCTTCTTGTTCTTGTCTGTTTCTAGCTGCCCTGCTTTACCAATCAAAGAACAAAGCTTGCTAGATTACACCCAAAGAACAAAAGACAATTTTACAGTTTTGTTTCTTGGGGAACATTGATACGTCTGGGTTGCACAAATGGAACCTTGGTGATGGACCATGCAGAATCTATTTTAATTGCTTATGGTTCAACTTTTATTGCTTGAATAGAAGTAACATAAATAAGATACTCTTTTCTGTTACTTTAGTGCCAGTTTTCAAAGTTTTAGAATGTTTTTGGTTTCATATTCTTTTTCAAGATGAGAGAACTGAATTATTTGCCTAAGATCTGAAGTCACAGTGAATACCAGACCTGCCCAGACTTTCTCTTTCCAAAACCTTGTGTTCTTTGTACTCTTACAACTTTTCTATTCTCTGATTGGACACAGATGGGAGACAGAATAGGAACATTGGTCTAGTAAAGGACTTTGAGAACTAGTAAGGTGATGAGGCATTAGAAAGTAGATGAGAAAGGTTCATACATAAAGGCACTACTTGAATATAACAATGTGCCTAATCTGTACATTTTCTTGTTAGGTTCCATAGATTAAAATATTTATGGATCATTGTTGATCCTGTATCTCAGCCTTTCTGTGTGACAGAATAATTAGTGGACTGTAGGAAATTAAGAGGCAAAGTGTGTAAAAGAGCTCCACCTGGTGGCTCTCTGTAGTCATAATAAAAATTGGTTCCCTGAGAAATAGGCAGTGAGGTGTTTTTTTTGTTTTGTTTTGTTTTGTTTTTGAGATGGAGTCTTGCTGTCCCCCAGGCTGGAGTGCAGTGGCGTGATCTCGGCTCACTGGAAGCTCCGCCTCCCAGGTTCACGCCATTCTCCTGCCTCAGCCTCCTGAGTAGCTGGGACTACAGGCGCCCGCCACCATGCCCGGCTAATTTTTTGTATTTTTGGTAGAGATGTGGTTTCACCATGTTAGCCAGGATGGTCTCGATCTCCTTACCTCGTGATCTGCCCGCCTCGGCCTCCCAAAGTGCTGGGATTACAGGTGTGAGCCACCGCGCCCGGCCGCAGTGAGTTTTAAGATGTGGAAATTGGAGGTTGAACTGATAAGACTTTAAATCTACTTTCTATAGAATTAATGGGGTTTTCATTTACCTCTTTTTCTCCATCCTTAATGAAACATGAAGCCTCATTTGCTTTTTTAGCGGGACAATCCAAAACTAGAATGTGTGCTAGATTTGGAAAGGAGTAATCTTACAGAGAAAGGGTCAATGATATGCCACTTTTGTGATGAGAAATTAAGTACAGTTTTTAATGTTTGCCTTAAGAATTTTTCATCTCCCCAGTAACACAGTATTTTTTTTTCAGCATATCAATATTTAACCTAATAGTTAAAATTATCTAATAGCCCTCTTCTTTTTCAGAATCCTACAAGGGACACTTCGGTCCTATTCATTGTGTAAGATTTAGTCCTGATGGAGAACTCTATGCCAGTGGTTCAGAAGATGGAACATTGAGACTATGGCAAACTGTGGTAGGAAAGACGTATGGCCTTTGGAAATGTGTGCTTCCTGGTAAGAATTTTTATTCAGAGTAATAACATTTTTAAAATGCATGATTTTGTGTCATTTTTCATCATTAATTTTATTTCAGGGTTTTTGTCTTCTATAAATTTTAAATTATATGTTATGGTTTAAGCAGAGAGAAGCCCAGGATTATGAATTGGCCAGAGAAAGGGTCATGTTCCTTTGTTTGTTTAATTTTTTTTTTTTTGTATGGCTGGGTGTGGTGGCTCACGCCTGTAATCCCAGCACTTTTGGAGGCTGAGGCGGGCGGATCACGAGGTCAGGAGTTCAAGACCAGCCTGGCCAACATGGTGAAACCCCATCTCTACTAAAAATACAAAAATTAGCTGGGTGTGGTGGCGTGTGCCTGTAATCCCAGCTACTCAGGAGGCTGAGGCACGAGAATCGCATGAACCCAGGAGGCATGCATTGAGCTGAGATCTCGCCACTGCACTCCAGCCTGGGTGACAGAATGAGACTTGGTCTCAAAAAAAATAAAATAAATTTTGTTGTACAATCTAGTCTGTTCCTAAATTTTTATACTAGCACATTTTGTGGCTGGAATATATCTAATTCAAAATTTGCTGGAAGGCAATATGAAGACAAGTAAATGTATCTAATCTCTGAATAGTATTACTCACTGATCCACACCAATAAAGGTAGACATGTTCTTAATAAAAAATATCTAGTTACTAATCCCTAAGTAGTTGCAGTGTGAACCTTAAAGTAATTTCGAAGAAAGACATACTATTTTAGAATCACAATTATTTAAAAATGAGTTGTTTTTATTATATTTTGTAGCGATTTCTTGGAATAGTCTTATCTTGCTCTTCTTGCTTTTTGAACACTAGAAATTACTTGTAATAGTGTAATTCATATAATCATCATTGCTTTTCTTTTTACAGAAGAAGATAGTGGTGAGCTGGCAAAGCCAAAGATTGGTTTTCCAGAGACAACAGAAGAGGAGATAGGTAAATGCTAAGAACTTTTGTAAGAGTCCTAGGGGATTTAAAATTGAACTGTAACAGAAGTTTTACTCATTGGCAGAAGAAATGTATTAAATATGAACATATTTAAATAATGGAAACTTTATTTGTGCATGTATATATACATATTTATAAGCTAAATATTTAAATACCTACTGCATAGTAGTAATATGTGCAGAAATGTAGTATGGACATGACCGATGTGGTTACTCTTTCAGAGCTTGGAGTCTAACTTAGGAGACATGCCAAAACAAACAAATTATTGTAAGGGGGATTTAAAAATGCTTCCTTGAGAAGTGACATTTAAACTGGGACCTAAGGATGAGCAGAAGTGATTTAGATGAGGTCATGAGAGGGGCTATTGGTAGGGACAGGATGGAAAAGTTCATAGCAGGAAAACTATGTTAACTAAAAGTTCAGAACCAAAAAGGAGCATAGCATATGAGGAAATAAAAGAACTTCTCCCTGCCTCCAGGTTAAACAGCAAAGGCAGAGTGAAGCTGGAGAAGCTAGATCATTTGAGGGCCTCATTTGCTGTATTAGGACTTGGAGAATTTTATACTAAGAGCAATGAGAAACCTTTGAATTTTAAGAAGAGGAATTTAAAAGATTGCCTTGGGAGGTCGAGACCAGCCTGGCCAACATGGTGAAACCCTGTCTTTCCTAAAAATACAAAAACTAGCCGGTCATGGTGGCGGATACCTATAATTCCAGCTATTTAGGAGGCTGAAACAGGAGAATAGCTTGAACCCAGGAGGTGGAAGTTGCAGCGAGCGGAGATTGTGCCACTGCACTCCAGCCTGGGTAACAGAGAGAGACTGTCTCAAAAAAAAAAAAAAAAAGTTGCCTTGGCTGTGGCACGTACAGAGAATTGGCCTGGGAACAAGAGTGAACATAGACCAGTTAGGGGGCATTGTAGTCTAGATGAGTGATCCTGTAGGTTTTGTTTTGTTTTGAGATGGAGTCTCGCTCTGTCACCCAGGCTGGAGTGCAGTGGCACGATCTCAGCTCACTGCAGCCTCCGCCTCTGGTTTCAAGCGATTCTCCTGCTTAAGCCTCCTGAGTAGTTGGAATTACAGGTGCACTACCACGCCTGGCTAATTTTTGTATTTTTAGTGGAGATGGAGTTTCACCATGTTGGTCTTGAACTCCTGACCTCATGATCTGCCCACCTCAGCCTCCCAAAGTGCTGGGATTACAGGCATGAGCCACTGTGCCCAGCCTATCATGTATTTTTTAATAAGGGTATTGCAATGAGAACAGAAAAAGGTAGATGCAGTTGAGAGTCTTTTAGACTTGTTAGAATTGTGAGATTGATGAGTGGGGGTATCGTAAGGAAGAATTCAGATTGCTGCCATGAGGAACTGGGTGTGATGATTTTGGGGGAGATTGGGAAGGTGTTTACCCAATTAGAGTTTTCCTTAAATTTTTTATTGCTAAGCACCTTCTTGCTGAAACTTAATGTTGATGGTTAATGTTTTGCTTTAAATAGCACTAAATGTTAGGATTTGCATCACTAAAAGGGAGGACCAGGTCCTTCAAAGACATGACTTTAATTCAGGGTTTATTAGATAGTTGGAGTCTGAAAATTTAGGCCAGAAAGGGACCCTTCGAGGTTGAGTTATGGTGTAAGAGAGTCTAGTGGATAAAACACATGAACTCTTTCTTTGCCTTTTCAATGGCATGAGTCTAGTTGTTAGTGGCATGTGCAGTTGTTCTCTTCTTCCCCTTACCAGAGTATGCTTTACACACACTTTTTTATTCCTTAATTACACGGAAATGTAGATTTGCTTCTTTCTTTTATTAAGTTGACTAATGCGACTTTTTTTTTTTTTTTTTTTTAACTTATAGAAGAAATTGCTTCAGAGAATTCAGATTGCATCTATCCTTCAGCTCCTGATGTTAAGGCCTGAGCGTCAATCATATGCCACAGTTAGTATACAACTGACTAAAACGAGCAAGCAGAGAAAAGCATCAGCCTTCCAGAGTTACTCTCTGCTTAAGGCAGAAACAGCAGTAAATAATGAGGAAAATGAATTATCTCCAGTGCTGGAACAACTTACTAACTTGGTGTTACCTGTAAGTGAAAACTCAGGAGTGTCAGATAAAGGGAGGTGGAGTTATCCTCTTATAGTACAGTGGCCTGTTATCTTTTTAATGAATATATACAAGCCAACATCCAATTTCTATTATTACAATTAGGGTTCTTGTAGCCGTTTATGTTATTATGGAGAAGAAAAATATATTGGCTTATTTTTCTGATCTTTTTCCTTAAAGCAGAATGCCCTTTTTTTTTTTTTGCTTCAGTTGTAAGGAAGAGGGAGTACATGATAAAGTAACTGGTTTGATTTCTCTTTCATTGTACACTGCTTCTGAACATCTAATTGTTTTTAGTTGTCTAAATAAAATGCCTCTAAAACAAAACAATGTTTGTTTTTTTTGGGGGAAAAACTACTAATTTGAGTTTTATAAGTGGAAATAGCTAGAAAGTTTTCTGTATCATAATCATAGCAAAAGATATGCTGATTAATCTGTAGTAAACATTACTTTATAATATTGAGATTCAGTTACTTGTACTGAATTTTTGAAATTCTTAAATCCTTTACTAGTGTTTCATTTACCTCCTCTATTCCCAGATTGGATAGAAGTGCTTGACATGCCTTTTTAAATGATTATTTAAAGAATACATGCTAGTTATAGGAAAAAAAAACTGAAATTTTAGCAGTAAGCTGAAAGATCACTTAAAATCCTACCACTCGTCAAAAAACTATTAAAATCGAATGACCGTTAATACATGTTAGGGCATCTCTGTATGTATATACAGATAGATAGAATGGATTTTATAAAAATGGGATTACTATAGACCTGCAGTGGTTTAAGAAGTATGGAATTTTACCTCATTCTTTAAATTAAATTTGGGTGGCATTCAGAAAGCCCTTTTAAAACCTTCTAATAAATTGGATCAACTGAGTTTAGACTTGTAATTTATTTTTTAAAATACAGAGGGCATATTAAATGAGTAAGTTGGAAATACTTGAGATGAATAAATAACATCTTTGCCAACTTCCTTTTTCTCCTGATCAGTCTTGTGAGTGACCCTTGATAACTTTTCTTAAAAGCAATATGAGTCAACCAAAGAATAAGATTAATTTTTGAGGATTTGTGATAACCAGAAGAAAGCACTGTAGGCTGTGACAGCCTGTGATGGCCAAGAGAAATACAGGGGAGCCAACTGGTGATCCACATAGGCTTTCATAGAGTGGTAGTATTTTTGTGTCAGCTTATTACATGCCTGAACCTCTGGATTGCAGCAGTGTTGTCATTGTACCAGCAGTTGCTCAGACTAATCAGAGTCTGATTTACCCTCAATAAAGTTTTGTGTCATCAGATTGGAATCATGAAGTTGCTTGTTATTTATGAACCAAGGGAATTTCTACTTAGGTTTCATAAAAGTCTAATGATCCTGTACAGGTACAGTCCTTTGTGTATTGGTTTCCTGCTGCTGCTATAACAAGTGACCACAAATATGTACCTTAAGGCAACAAAAATTTATTATCTTACAGTTTGGGAGGTCAGAAGTCCACAGTAGGTCTTGCTGGGCTTAAATTAAGGTGTCAGCAGAGCTGCAAGCCTTCTAGGGGCTCTACAGGACACTCTGTTCCCTTGCCTTTTCTAGCTTCTAGAAGTCAGCTGCATTCCCTGGCTCATGGTTCCTTCCTCTTTACGTCCAGCAGTGTCTATTTTTTAATCTCTTACTCTGAATGTGACTCTGCATCTCCTGCTTCCTCTTTTACTTAGAAGGAGGTTTGTAATTATATCAGGCCCGCCTGAATAATTCAGGATAATCTTCCCAGTTCAAGATCTTCAATTTAATTATGTCTGCAAAGTCCCTTTTGCCATATAGAATGACATATTCACAGGTTCTGGGGATTGGGAAGTGAACATCTTTGTGGGGGCCATTAGTCATTAGTCTGCTTACCACACTTTGTAATGGTAGAATCCTACAGTAGAATTTAACAAAACTTAAGTACATGTTTCTAGAGCAGTGGTCACTTTTCTGTTCTCTTTCTAAACCTTCGGAAGCATTCAATAATCATCCACTTGCTTGTTTTTTATTTATTTATTTTTTTTAGTTTCTATGAAACTACTCTCCTGGGTCTTTTTTTTTTTTTGAGATGGAGGCTCGCTCTGTCACCCAGGCTGGAGTGCAATGGTGCAATCTCAGCTTACTGCAACCTCTGGCTCCCAGGTTCAAGCGATTGTCCCACCTCAGCCTCCTGTAGCTGGGACTACAGGCAACGCCACCACGCCTAGCTAATTTTTGTATTTTTAGTAGAGATGGGTTTCGCCATGTTGGCCAGGATGATCTTGATCTCCTGACCTCGTGATCCACCCGCCTCAGCCTCCCAAAGTGCTGGGATTACAGGTGTGAGCCACCGCGCCTGACCAGGTCTTTTTATACCTTACTGACTCCTGTATTTGCCAGTTCCTCCTTTTTTTTTCTTGACTTCAGATCTGGGCTGTACTTTCTAGCTCTGTTCTCCAAAGAAAAATATCATCCACTGTTAGGACATTCAGGATCTTCTGATACGTTCTAAATTGTGTATCTGGGCTGCCTCTTTGAGCACCAGAGTTTGACAGCATAGTTGAGTGCTCCACCTTTCATGAGACTCTGAGACTTACCTATTGTAAGTCTTGATTTTTTTAATCAAACCTGTTTCTCCCTCAACCTTTCCCCATTCCACTAACTGGTACTAACTTATACTTACTTGTTCAAACTAAAAGATATGGAAATCCTTGACTCTGTTCTCTCTCATCCTCATGTCTATATGCAAGTTCTATGGGCACTTCTGAAGCTGTGCTTTGTCTCCTCTCCATTGTTAACCACCTTAGGCAGGCTACCTTTCTCAGTTCCTTCGTAACTGCTCCCTCTTGCCCCTACTCATTTGTCTGGCTTGTCCCATCCATACTCCACACAGTAGGAGAGGTAATTGCTTTAGGATTTGAAGAGACTAGGTGATTTCCTTGTTAAGATCTGTAATGGCTTCCCATTATATCCAATTCTTATAATGAGTTGGCTCTTGAGACCTTTTGTGACTTTTTCATACTTCCCTTGCTTACCCTGCTCTAGCCACAGTGGCCTCATTTCTGTCTCAAGTGTCTTTCACTTGATATTTCTGCTACTTGGTTCACTCTTACCTAATGTTTGCTTGACTGATCCTTTCTTTGCATTCAGTCCTCAGGCCGGTCTGTATTCCATCTCTTGTCACTTCTTAGTCCTGTTTTATTCATACTTGTCAACACTATTTGAAATTATGTTGCATGTTTTTCTGCTTCATTGATAGTCTCCCTTTCCCTGGAAAGGTGACTGGTATGTTGTGAGTGCTCAATAGTTGTTGAAACAAGTCCCTCACCAAATCTTTTTAATATCTCCCAGTAATCCATGTCAGACCAGGAAGACTGTTTTCCAGTTATCTCATATGCAGCAGGTCATCCTCCACTGAAGAGTGAGACATGGCAGGAACCTATTCAAAGCTCTTGCCTCTCCAGTGAACCCGTGTACAGCTTCAGCCAGTGTGAGACTCAAGTTACCCAGGAAAAATCCAGCTTTCACTTGTCTTCTCATCCCATTCATCCTCTCGAGTCTCCTCTCTAGGTCCTAATTTCCAGTAGGTCATGCTATTCCAAGTTCCCTCCTAATATTAGTAATTTACCTTTTTATGAATCAATTACTTCTCTATTTTAGTGTCATCCAGAGGTTTCTTCTAGGAAACCAGGATTGAGTGTGGTCATTAAATTCTCCAGAATATTTTTCATGTCAGTCAAGTTCAACACATTCTTTTTAATGTCTACAAAATAGCATAGTAAAGATGCACCATAATTTGTAACAAATTACAGATTACATTTTTTAGTAGTTGCTCAAATTCCATGGAAGTATTTAGCTGCCTTTTCTTTGAGACCAACGTTGGGGAAAAATGGATGCAATTTTTCAGAAGGTAGCAACAACAAAATGAGGCATTGAAAAAGCAGACCAATGGAAAATATTTCTCAACTAGCTACCTTGCTTATGCTTTACACCTAGGGGATTAACAACTTAAAAAGTGGTTCCTATTAGGTTACTATATGTTACTGTGCATGTCTGTCTGTTACACTGGGGGGTTACCCATAAAAACAGTGTTAAAGCAAGAACATTCTCAGATAAGAGGGGGCTTAGCTTTTCTTTGGTTATCTATTTAATAGAGAAATGCTTAATTGCAAGTGTGCCATAGTGTTACTTAGATTGAGGTGACTAGATCAGTAGAGTTCTTGGAGACATCTAACAAATTTACCTTTCGAAAAAAGGTATGTATCTAAATGACAGCTAATGAACAATAATAATACTTTATAGATTGAATCACTTTAATGAGAGAATAGAACATGGTCAAATGGAAGGCAACTGATTTTAGTTTAAGACGAGTATGGAAATGACATAAGTGCCTTATGTTAGGTTTTAATGTTAACATGTGTCACTTTCTAATTTCTCCCGGTAATCCAGTGAGATCAGTAATTGTCTCCATTGCATATATGGAAAACCTGAATTTCAGAGAGGTTTAATGGTTTGCCTAAGCAGTTTAGCTTCCAAGAGATAGTAGGGAATAGTAGTGTGTAGTCTAAGGTTATATATTGTTATATGATTATCTGTTGCCAGGTTTTAAGCAATCCTGTAGCACTTACAGGTGAATCTCTCTTAGCCTCAGTTTATCTGTACAGGGAGAAAAGTGTTCTCACACACAGATTTTTTTTTCAGGAAAAATCTCATAAATATGAAATACCAAATAAATTTATGGAAAGGGCTTAATTCATATGAAGCACTTAATATTAGTATTATATATTCTATCAGTGATTCCCAAGCTTTAGGATTCTGTGGCCAATAGACTTTAAAACGGGAGAGGAGATGGAATGGTCAGCTTCTAGCCAATTGAGGCTATTATAAAAGAAAAAATCATTATCTATTACCACAATCTTTATAAAACGACATTTTAAAATTCAAATTGGTAGTGAACAACGTAGTCTCAGAATGAAGGAGTGTTCTTTAAATTGAATAAATTTAGCTTCATAAACGACTCAGTGTAATTCTTTTTTTTTCTATTTTACTATTAACTAGGAATTGGATGTTCTATTAGTCTCCCTCCAGTTCTAAAATATTTTGACTCTAATATTCACACTTTTTCATAGTCCTCCCTGCTCCTACACTTTTCTCCATCTGACCTAGAAATGCTGGCTGACAGTTTGTAGTCTAAGTGGTTATTTACCTAATGAACTTGTGAATAATTGCTCTTAGAAATCGTAGGAGTAGAGACTATATCAAATGGAATTTGACTTGATAAAATAATAGGCAGTATAAGAAAACTAGCAAAGACAGCAATATACACTCATTCATCTAACAAATACTTATAGTCTAATATTTGCCAACTACTGTACTAGATCCTACATATGATGAACCAGGCACAAATGATCTATGCCCTTTGGAACTTAAAATTTGTTTTACTCCTATCTCCCAGGACTGGTAGGTTTTTAGAAGCTTCAAGATAAATATTACATATTCCTAGAGCTTTAATTTAATTAAAGGAGGAGTGAGGGTAGGAGGATAATTAGGTAATTTATTTGGCAATTTAAAATTTACGTTGAAAAACATCAATGAATAGGAATAGCATGCAAAATTTACATGGCTTAAAAAATACAACATGTAATACTTTAAAAGCAATTTTACTCAGTCAGTTTGGGCTATGGCTCCAGATTGACATGCATAGTTTATTTTCCTCTGCTTCTCGTTTGTGGTTCTTTACATTTAGTTTGCATAAATATCGTTTGAAGAAACATTAAAATTGCAGATTCCTGGGTCCTACAGATTCTGATTGAGTAGGGCTGTGATGAAGCCCAGAACTGCTTTAGAAAAAGCTCTTGGGTGATTCCCATGTAGTGGTCTATAGCTCTTTCTTTGAGGGGACTTGCCTTAGGGATACTTTAGAAGTTTCATAAGGCAATAAATTTAAAAGGAATCTTCACAAAGTGAAATGTAGAAACATTTCTCTGTGAAAGAAACTCATTTTTTGCATACTATCCCTGCTGTCTCTCCTAATGTTGCCAAATTAACATACTTTTAAACTGCAGAGATTAATTTGAGATTAATACATTCAACAGGTCCATTTTAGAAAAAGTCCTTGAGAAATTCTTGACTGATATATTGCCAAAACGTTTGCTTTAAGAGGCTGCCCTAATTCTGATTTTTCAACTAAGTTAGGATATCACAACTTAAAAACAAACAAACATTTATGTAATGAATGGTATGGAATCTGGTTTGGAGTTGTGTCTACTTCTAAAAGTAGAATTTCATGTATTGCCTTTGT